CACACACACACACACACACACACACACACACACACACACACTCGAACACACACACACACACAGAGGGACAGAGAGGCGAACGAAAAACACTGAGCACTCGAGCACGCTAGATCAACCCACTAACGCAAAAGAGCTCCAATTTACTAGGTGGCAATTGACAAAAAGTCAATTTTTGTCAAATGCCACCGCGTCACTCGGTGGCAAATGACGCTACCATTCTCCACCCCCTCAGGTGTGCTGCACACAGTAGGCCTTAGCAGACACACACAGAACAGCACAGGAAATAACTTATAAGTTGTAGAGATACGGCTAATGGGCTGGGTGAAGGCCATTTCACACCATGAACAGCAAAACAACAGTGAAAAAAAAACTGAACTAAAAACAACGTTCTCAGGCTTTTCTGGGATGGATGCATACCAACTTCAACCTGGACAAATAACAATGCAGAAAGCTTGAATGCGGTCCTTAAACATCTCGTGTGTTAGACTCCTCAGCAACTTCCACAGCTGGTTGATGTCCTGCGCAATCTTGTTCTCACATAGAATGCTGAATCACTGCATGCGCTTGTGGGAATCGGAGAACATGTCCTGGCACCATCATATGTGCACATGGTCATGTCGCCAGAACTGTGGGACACACTGTTAGCCGAACAACAAAAGCAGAGATATTGCGGATGCTGATGCCGCCTGTGCGCAGAGCAGGAACTGTGACTTCAGGCAACAAGACGCTCACAGTCAACAGTGCACCAAGCAAGTCAAAGAAACCTTGTCTACAGAAACACAGAAGGAGCGAGAGAACAACCCTAGGGCACAACTACTAACAGAAATTCCTTAGTGAAGCAAGTAAAACAATGTCATGTTCCTTGACACTTTCAAGATGTAAAATTGTTAACTTAATTTTTTATTTATCCATGTCAACTTGAAACTTTATTTGAAAAACTTGCTTTCTTAACATGCACCTCTCTGTAAGGCCCTTGGACCCTAATTTTATTATTAGCCTCCTACGTGCAATTTAACACACTCTTACGCACATATTCACATACACCCTCTTAAAAACTCACGCTCTATCCTCGAGTTCACAGTGAGCCTTTAAGCATTTTGTTCCAATTCTTTGGACATCAGGCAGAACAGACATGTCTGATTCTTATTGGGAACCATGTTGTTCCCATACATTCTGATGAATGTCAAGATCTCGGCATATTTTGTAGCACCTGTGGTGTCGTTGGCACATCATGCTGATCTTTTTACTTTGTGAAAAATGTGTTGTCATTCTTCACGTTTTATTTTTCAAAACCTCATTTTGAATGATTTATGGGCCCAGGAATAACCATGAGTTTTTTTTCCTCTAGCCTACTTGTAATTCATTGTGTCTACATTAATTTATGTAGTCTATTTATGTTTTTTGAGTGAGAATCACACCAAATGCAGTTTGAGAACTGCTGAGAAATAATGTATGAATTTCGTTTTGTTTATTTCTACAAACTTTAGACAAGCAGTTGATCACAGGAAAACTTACTGCTCCTTTATCTGACATTTGTTCTTTTTGAGTGTGTGTGTGTGTGTGTGTTTGTGGCAGGGGTAGGGAGTTACATCCACTCACAGTATTTTATATCATTTCCTAGTACTTCTTTCTCTGTCATGTTCTGAAAACTGAATGCATTGTTTATTCTATAGTGGTTAGATATAGAGCTATGATGCTTCCTATTTTTGTAAAATTTTTAAAATGAATTGTAACAGGTACTGTATTTAAAATGTCATGAATTTTAAAATGTGTCTGGTTGTAGAGGGACACATATACTTTTATTGTAGGCATGAAAAAATGCAGTCACATTTCAAATATACGATATTTTTGAGTAGCACAAAATTGCAAATATTTCACTGGAAAGCGAAGGTAGAAAACTGCTAAACGAACTGGTGTGAAAAATATTATCTACTCCGTTTTGTCGACTCTGTAAGCAAGCTCATTACTGATTACATGCCATTATGTTTTCCTTACGGTTTACTCAACATTATCAGAATACAACTTATACCGGACAGTTACAAAATAACTTGACTACATATCTTCTGTAATATGACGTGCATGTTTGAATTGTTTGTTGGCCTTTATGTGTTTGATTTTTTTGGTGTTTGATTTCATAACCTACGCGCCCATATGGTGACTCTTCAGATAGTGAGAAGCCCCATCGTCTACTTCTTTACTTTCCCTCTGTTGTTTCTATTTACTTGTTACTTTTTCTCAGCACTAAATGACCATTATTGTGTCGATGTGCTTCTCTTTTCTCAAAAGAAAAGTAAAGAAAAAACCCAAACAATACTACGAACAGAAAATAGACGTCAATAATAAACACCACTTTTCGGGGCATTCCTCTAACAGAAAATATACATTGAAAGTAAATCACTCTTTGGGACAGATTGGGGTAGTCTGGGGTAGTCCGGGGCACAAAGTTACCCGACCCCTCATGAGTCATTTCCTAACCACATGCGGTAAGCCACCTTGGGCCTAGGTGATTTTATCGGTCTGCAAGAGGTCAGGGGGGAGTCTGTTACCTCATGCCCACCCCGGGGGGGGGGGGGGGGGGGAGAGAATAACGGGTCATTTGCTATTCTCATCAGAGGTGAGAATATAGGTGGCCATATAAATAACCAGTAACTGTAATGTAAGTTTGAGAGGATTTCTGTAATGAGCGATCTCTAAGAAACAAGAGTAGAATAGAATGAAAGAGAGGGTTAGGGATAGGATTTTGGGGAAAGGGTAGGGTTAGGGGTTGGGTCAGGGTTAGGGTTTGGTCTCTTCTGTAGTCTTTATTGTGTTTGTTGGGGTGGTTGCTTATTACAGAAGTCCTTCCATTTATAAGTTTTACCATTTTTATGTAAGTAACTAACTATTTTAATAGGCCTTCTATAAGACTATCATGTTATAATAACCTTCACCTTCTACCTTTCAGTAATGGTATTTTATTAATCATGTCATAAGTTAAATATAACTCCTGCAAGATTTAAAGCAGTTTTACAGATTATTGTAAATCTTAGTAGGCTTAATCAGTTTTAGTATAGATTAGCACAGTCTATACTTTGTTTCAAAAGTGAAGTTATCGTTTTGTCTCAGTTTATCGTCATTGACATGATCTGTTGCAGTCAGAAATTATGTTAAAGTGAAAGAAGAAAAAGGCACTTTTGTTACTTTGAACACTTTTTGGTAGAAATCATGATTTAACCAAGTAACTGATGAGTCCAATAGAAATAAGATTTTTATAATAATTACTATTTAAAGAAAAATGAAGTGCCCTACCTTTTTTGGGCACCATAATCTGTTGAACATCAATGGATGATATAACAAGCCATTATATGGCTTGACGAATGCAAATGTGATGGTATTTCAAGTTTAAAGAGTGTTGTCAACTAGAAAATCTTGGAATTACCATCTCCTTTAGATGAATGCTAAAAAAGTTTGATACATTCTCTTGAGATGTAAAGGGACAGGAAGAGTGGTGAAAAATAAAATCTTGCTCGTGGTGCGGAAATTTGAACATTAATTTCAAGCCTATTGTAGTGAAAGAGTGTTGTTGCCTTTTGCTTATGATTTATCTTAAACCATGATGCACACATAACAATAATTTTGCGTGTATTCACAGGGGTCACCGAGGAACTCCTGGACAGTGTCCTACAAACAAACCTGGCCATGCTTGCAGAAACTCTGGCTCAGTCATCAGAGATGAGACAGCATCTAGGAACACACGTGTGTAACGTCATTCAAGAAAACGCACAAAATTCCGGGGATGTTGCGGACAATAAAACAATCAGGCAAAGATTTACAGCAACTTGCCTGCAATTTCTCTCTACCTTGAAGAGCAACCTTGAGTCAGAAAGGTCTGCATCTGATGTCTCCCATGCTTCTTCGGATGATACAGGGGGTAAAACTCCGTCTGGAAAAGGTAGAGGTTCCAGCCAGACCTGTCTTCCTCCGGGTTCGTTAAGCGTTGTACAGGAGAAAACAGTAAATTCAGCCCTACAGTTCCTACTGGTATTTGGTTTGAATCCATTCCTGATGTCTGGTGTTGGAATTCCTGTGTCTAAGCGCCTTGGGCCGGGTCAAATTCTGTTGGCGTCCATTCATGACTACAATGAAGAGCTGTCAGATCTAGACAGAATCAAGTGCCTGTTGCCTGTGGTTATACTCTTAGAAGACCTTATTTCTGAACCCTCCTTGAAAGAAATAATAATTAACAACTACCTCGCAGATATGGTAGCAGCAGTGCTACAAATTAGGCATTGTGCAAAAGTTCTTTTGCAGAAAACAGGTAATAGAAATAACTCAGGTGATGGAAACACAGAAAAATGTTTAAAGGTGTGTCCAGCAAAGCCGTGTAGAGCAACAACACCAGCTGATGGGTCTGCTTCATTAGAACCTGTTTTGACTTCAAGTTCAAGAACTCACCTACAGCCCAGTAGTCTTTCAAGCGTTTCACATTCCACTGCTTATGAAAGTGCACAAAGGTCAGAGCAAAAACTGTCCTCTGAAGAAGTACCCTTGGGACTTCCTCTACTGGTGAGAGTGAATGGGGAGGAATGGGGTTTGCCCCGAGTGGTGGAGTTTTGTGGTGCTGAGATTGACAGAACGGTGAAGTCTTCTCCCGTTGGCCAAGTGCTTCAGGTGCTTCTTATGCTGTCTGGTGGACAGAAGGTATTATTGACAATCTTCTCAGATTTGAAATGCTTTTTCCCAAACTTGTACCAAAAATAATTTTTTTAATTCCAATGTAACGATAATTTTTAAATGAATATTGTATGTTATGGAGATGTATAGATCTAAATTTCGATGTTGGACATAATTTGTTCGAGCCAAATTGCCTGTAAGTATTCTTGAGATCACTTACCTGTTTACTAGGAGTCTGGCCCTATTCTTTCCCTTGTATTTGCTTACCTCTCCCTGGTCCCTAGCTTTTTAATTTGCTAAACCTTTGAATATATTTCTAAAAGGGATAATTGGGAAGGGTACTGTTGACAAACAAATTGTGATAATGTTTGTGCGTCAGGGAGGGAAACGGGAAGAAACATTTTCTAGTCTAATGAGCTTTTAATAGCTTTTTCAGTTAACTCAGTATATTGTTGTTGTTTCTTTGAATAAAAAAGATGAAGTTGTTGTTAAAATTCACTATTTATATACACCAACTAAACAGATATGTTTCGCCAGTAAGCCTCTAACCCATGTAGAATCAAATTGTCAGAGACGGCTACACAATGGTGAAGAGAGATGTGATTGTCTTAGACAGGTGAATGTCTTGGACAAGGTCATTGTAATATTATTTTTAAAATGTAAAGCCAGAGGTGGGAAGTGGTCGTTTGTACAGGTGATTTTCTTGAACAGGGAGCCGTTAGAGTAGGTTCAAATGTATTCATGTTCTTTTTTTCTAGTGACATTCTAGATTTCAGGTTTGACTGTGAAGTTACAAAGTGTAATGAGAAAAAATGCAAGAGCAAGTCCTTTGAAAGAAATATTTTTTTAGCTTTTTATAAATATTATGCTGAATACTTGAATGTAGAGCTGAGGTCTTAGGAAGATGGGGTGCTACATGCTTCCTCGCCCCTCTTCATAAGGGTCCATTTCAGTGTAGGCGCCAGCTGGTTGTTGTAGTGTCTGATGGGGTCTCGCAGGCTGCTCCTCGCCTGCCTTCACCAGGCTGTGTATTATGCTGAGTCGATATTTAATCAAAAAGATGATCATCTTGGAAATGTAACACAGGAATGTCTTTCTTGTGCAGCTGTGTTCCATCCAGATGTAGCCCAGTTGTAGTTATTTGTACTAATATGTTGGCCTATCTCTCTTGCAGTCAGGCCCAGCTGGTGGTGTGAAGTGTCCAGTCTGGTTCCGGCGGACAGTGGCGGGAATCCTCCGCGACGTCATCATGGAACCACCAAATGTCCAGCATCTCTTGGTGTCATTTGTCGGAGGTCTGTACTCTCAGCGTCTGGCTTGTCATAGTGTGCTGTAGATTCTGTCGTTGATTAAATTTTTTCTGTGAAGGATTGTCATGAGAATTCTGATATAATGGGTGGTTCTTCTTCTTTCCTTTCTGTCTGTCTGTCTGTCTGTCTGTCTGTCTGTCTGTCTGTCTGTCTGTCTGTCTGTCTGTCTGTCTGTCTGTCTGTCTACCTGCCTGTCTGTCTAGCATTTTCTCTAAATTAAATGACTGCTATTGTTTCTGTGCTTGTCATTTCCCAAAATACACCGGTTATGTTTTTGTAAGATTTTTTCTCATGATCAGACATCTTCTTCTTTTTCATTTTTGAACTCTGACTTTCTCTTTAACTAAAAAAAAATTTCTTACTTCCAGCAAGATAACTGTTTAGGAGGCATGGTGATTCAACCTGAGCTGTGTGTGGGGGAAAAGGAGGAGCAGAGTAAGTCTGATTCCTGTAAGGACTTCTCTGTTGACATCCACCCCTTGGCGCTCATATGACCGTATGCAGTTGCGAGCGCCGTTAAACCTCTACTAAAACAAAAGGAGGTGTTTGGAAAAATCCTGCCCATCTGGGGTCAGAACTCTTGCTCTCTACACGGATGGTGAAGAGCCAATTTTGCTGTTGACAAGGGTCGAGTCATAAGACTCAAGAACTGCGATGCTTTGCCCAGCAGTTTAATAGAGATCAAATCTTTTATTCATTCAAATGTCAGCTTAAGTTATTTCTGTTTTTAGTTCAATGAGATTTTATAGATTTGTAGTCAGGACACAAAGATCTTTTTATGTGTTGTATTTGTGAAGCGTTCGAAGCATGTGTTTTCTTATTGGGGTTGAGTGCCATAAAAATGTCATAAATTAATTATTATTGTTATCATCATTATTATTATTATTATTATCATCGTCATCATTATATCATTATTATTATTATTATTATTATTATTATTGTTATTATTATTATTATCATTTTCATCGTTGTTTCTCCTTCCCTTTTACTGAAGACCAAAGCCTGGACTCTGTGAGCACGCAGGAGTGGAGGAAGTGTGTGGCGGTCGCTCAGGTCATATCTCGTTGCCCGGTCACCCCTGCCAATGTGGAGCGGTTTTACTCCTCGGTTTCTCAGCAAGTGAGTCATGGTTTCCTGTGGTGCTCTGAGGCTGTGCTTTTCTTCAGTGTTGTTTTTGTTTGAGTAGTATTTGTGTGGCAGCATAGGATAGTGAAATCAGGTGCTTTTCAAATTAATGAAATTAAAAAAGACTGACATCTTCTGATTGGACAATTTTTAAAAATTTACATTTTGGCCCCAACACCTTTTATGTCCATTTAAAAACCAATATCTTTCAGTTGGTGAGTGGTTAGCAGGTGTCTGATGTGGTTTATTCCATCTTTCCTTTCAAATGTCTACCGTCACCTCTCCTCCTTCTTTTCTTTGTATGTTACTCTCTAGATACACTTCTTGTCTTCAGCTCTTATAAGACCTATTTGCCTTGCAAGTGCCGTGAAACTCATGCTAAAACTAAAACTAAAACTAAAGCCTCTTGTAACACTTCTAGTCTTTGGCACTTATATGACCTAGTTGTGTTACAAGTGCTGTGAAACTTCTACAAAAACTTATCTTTCAGTTGGTGAAGGTGGTGAGGGCGGAGATTAAGGGCATCTCTCCACTGATCCTGCGCGCCGTGGGGTTGACCGTGACCGAGCTACATAAGCTGCAGCCTGAGCTGATGTGTCGCGTCTGTTTTGTCCCGCTGTTGGCGCCGCTGGTCAAGTGCTCTCTCTCACCAGGTCAGTGGTCACTGACCTCGCTGTTGGGTGGGGGTGTGTGCCAGTGATCCTCATATTCTCTTGGCCTCTGTGTGGTAAGAGGTTTGCAACGCTCAAAACTGCATGAGGTCATGTGAGCATGTGGGACTCAAGTTGGTTGTTTTCGTGTTTGTAATTTATCATGCGGTGTTGCCAACCTTTTTGACAAATAGACAAACGGAAACCTAGACTCTCAGGACATGCAGGGCAAGGCTGTGATTTTTTGTGAAATTGTTTATTGGTCTAAATTGTCCAGGTGGATTTGTTTATTTGCCTAGGTTGTTCCAGGTGGATTTTTTAATTTTTCCCGATTATTCCAGATGGATACAGATTGTTCTAGATGGATTTGTTTATTTGTCTAGATTGTTCCAGATGGATTTGTTTATTTGTCCAGATTGTTCTAGGTGGATTTGTTTATTTGTCCAGATTGTTCTAGATGGATCCAGATTGTTCCAGATGGATTTGTTTATTTGTCTAGATTGTTCCAGATGGATTTGTTTATTTGTCTAGATTGTTCCAGGTGGATTTGTTTATTTGTCTAGATTGTTCCAGGTGGATTTGTTTATTATGTATAGATTGTTTCTGATGGATCCAGATTGTTCTAGATGGATTTGTTAACTTGTCCAGATTGTTCCAGGTGGATTTGTTTATTTGTCTAATTCGTTTCAGATGGATTTGTTTATTTATTGCAACTGGTGTTTTCTGATATGTATTGGACCTATTGGCTGTTTGTTTGTTTTTGTTTGAGTCCAGAGCAATAAACTGACATAATAACAATCATGTAGTGTAGGGAAAAAATGTTAGTACGACTGGCAGAAATGACAAACAAAGAGAAAAGAAGAGTGACCTACCAGTGGCACCCTCCATCCCCTTATCCACTTGTGCCCAATTAACCTCATGTGTCTTCATCGAAGGATGGAAAATGTGGGCCAGTTCAGCTCAACTGTTTTTGCTTTTTGTTTCAGAATGCTGTTTTCAACTACTTCTTATGTCATGATTTGCTTGTTGCTGCTATAATTAGAAGTCTACCAAACTTATTGCTTCATCTACACGGGGCTCCAGTGGCTAAGTGAGTAGTGAGTTCAGACTCAAATGAAAATGTCAAGCATGTGTCGGTCACACAGGGTTCAGAAACGTGGTCTCTGGGTTGTGTCCTTGAGCAAGACACGACAACCCTAGCTAAAAACAAACAGGGCGCTGTACAGTGGTGACCAGCAATGGCATGTTTGTTAAATTGTTCTGTATTGGTGTAATTTTATTTTTGTATGTATGTATTTATGTATTTCTAATCATGTACATATGTATGTGTGTTTGCCATTGTTACTCAAAATTTCCCCGCGGGGATCATTAAAATGTAATTATATTATTAATTAATTAATTATTCATTATCTTATTTTCTTTCTTCTTTCCAGCAAAACAATATGGCAAAGACGGGGCAGTGGTTGTTACAGAGAATGTTTTCACTTCGTGTGTCGGATGTTTACACAGAGTGAGTAAGAGGGGGGGGGGTGGTGGAGGGCAACAGGGAGAGGGGGATGGAGAAAGAGAGAGAGAGAGAGAGAGAGAGAGAGAGAGAGAGAGAGAGAGAGAGAGAGAGAGAGAGAGAGAGAGGGAGGGAGGGAGGGAGGGAGGGAGGGAGGGAGGGAGGGAGAACTCTTTATGATTCGTTTGTTGCCTTTTTAAAAAAATAGCTAATGCTACACACTGGCTTATTAGTTGGTGGTTGGCAGGTGCTCTGGTGTGGTTTGCTTCTTCTTTTCTATCAAACATCTATCATCCTTATCTCCCCTCCTTATTTTTTGTGTTTGTTCCTCTCTTGTAAAACCTCTAATCTTCGACACTTATATGACCTTATTGTTTTGCAAGTGCCGTAAAACACTTAATAAAACTTAAACTGGCTTATTATGGTGTGTCTAAAAACACCCTTGCCCAACACTATCCTCTGCTAGTAAATTTTGTATGTGATAATGTGTGTATGTCTGGGGGGTATGTGTGCTTATGGAGTAATGTGTGTGTGTGTGTGTGTGTTAGTGCGCGTGCGCGTATGTGTGTGTGTGGGGTATGCTTGTGTTGTGTAATAGTCTCATAATGTGCCTTTATTTTTCTTTTTCTTTTTTAGTTCAGTTGAGTGCTAATTTTGCATTGAACAATGCTTGGAGCCTTCTAGGGAATAGGCATTATATACAGTAGTCGAATCTGATCTAATGGCCACCTGTATAAGACAATCACTTGCGGGTTGTTTTTTTGAACATTATAATGACTCCGTGTAAGATGTCCATCTGTCTAAGATGGCAACTTTTCTCCTAGTCAATGGGTTGCTGTCTCAGACAATTTTTGACTGGAAATTTTCACTATTATTATTATTATTATATTATTATTATTATTATTATTATTATTATAAGTCATATTGTTGTTGTTATTATTATTATTATTATTATTGTTATCATTATTATTGTTATCATTGTTGTTATTGTTATTGTTATTATTATTATTATTATTATTATTATTATTAAACATAGCGCTGCTTTGCAAAAACATGACAATGTTGTTTTGTCAGATCTACATTGGTGGTCAAGAACCAGACAGTCCTGTGCTGGTCACACTACAGTCGGTGGTCGGTGTGCTGTTTGATGTCTTTGTCCAGTCTAAGGACGGAGTCACACAGCTCAGGTTTGGACAGACTTAGGAGAGTCAGTAAAAGATAGTATGTGAGACATTATGGTGAAATCAGGCCCTAGTCAAAATAATAAAATTGAAGAAACTGGCATTTTTCCGCTTGTTTGGCAATATTAATGAAATTTTTGTCTTTTGGCTCAAAACCTTTTGTGTCCATTTGAAAACACATTTCTGTGTGGATTTTACTGCTAAATGTTGAGTACATTTTCAGTTTCCACGGACTCTCAAGCTATTGAAATAACCAAACTTTGGCAGCCATTTTTTTGTGCTTATTTTGCCTCTGAAACAAGGCAACCCCCACCTCCTTCAATTACAAGTATCTTGACTTGTATTCAAGATAAATGGATATTTTTTTCATCGTGTACAAGACGAATGAACAAGCTTTAAGATTATACCAATAACTCCACGTGGCCAAAAATTGGCAGGTGCCTAATTCCACCACATCGTAACCCATATTATTGATCCATGATGGAACTTTTGGGAGATATACCAGAACATCAACATACAAAGATTCAGTATTAACACAGAGATGCACGTATTACATTCATGTTCTGTGATACAAGTACAATGATTCACAGCTCACTCACACAAGCGTGCCCTAACAGTATAACCCTTAAGACAATGGATGATTGTCTTAAACCATTTGGACTTGGACTGTATATGTTAGGCATGCTGACTTCTTGCAATCCACAAATGGAAATTTCGGCCCAAAATTGACAGAGGAGCCAAATTATTTGTACATTTTCTGCTGATACCATTTTCTTCAACGTGAACATGTCTTTCATAATTTCATATTTATAAATTGTACTAACCCTATCTATAAATTTGATGTATCTATCTATAGCAGTACTGCTAAAAATCGGAGAAGTAACTCATATTTGTCAGTATGCTTCTAGAATATATCTCGTATACATTTCTCCCCTTAGACGGCTGAGCTTTGACCTGGTCCAGGCTTATGTTGCCAGCCTTCCCATGGAGGACGCGGTGACTTGTCTTCTCTCCGTGACCCATGACCCTCGGGCCAGAGACACGACCTTGACATACGCCGGCCTTCACAGGGACGTGTTGTTGACCCCGGGAGACACTGGAGGGTTGCAGGCCGTCTACAGCCCAGGCTTCAGGTGCCCACTTTGTTTGAAACATGTAGATGTATGGACACTTCATAATGTGGGTGGTTGGTGGGTGATCTGGTGTGGTTTTCTCCTTTGTTCCAATCGAACATCTATCGTCCTTATCTCTCCTTCTTTTCTTTGAACTTTGGTGCTCAATGATGATTGTCTGATTCCACCGCAATCACCCACCCACAGTAATTTTATATTTGTACATATGAGTTTTCTCACTCTGTCAGGTTTACCACGATCACACGCGTACGATAATTTTACTTTTGTACTTGTGTATATATGAGTTTTCATCCTCTGTCAGGTTTACCGTGGTCACATACACATATGGTAATTGTACTTTCGTACGTGTTTATATATGAGTTTTCTCCCTCGGTCAGGTTTACCGTGGACTCGCTGAACACCAGAGCGGAGGCTGTCATGGACGTTGTGGCCGGCCCCGGGCTGGAGTCTGTCAGGTCTAGACTGTTTCTTCTCTTACTGGAGGTAACACAATGTGTAGCAGTTTTGACTACAGCTACAGATGGGGGTTGCAGATATATGTGTGTATAAGAGTGATCAAATCTATTTATTAATTCAAATGTCAGTCTAATTTCCTTTTTGTGTTTAGATTAATGAGATATGATGTGGAATTTTAGCCAGAACACAATTTAGTGTTGTGGAGGTAACGTGTAGTAGCTTTGACTACAGCTTTTTTTTTAGTACACATTTTCTTTAAAAAATGGCACTCTTTTTCAATGCTCCGGTGATCTACAGGCATAGGGGTTTTCTGTTGTGGGGGGAGTGATGGGCTGGTCACTGGCCTGAAAATCATCATCATCATCATCATCATCATCATCATCCTCATCATCATCATCATCATCATCATCATCATCATCATCATCATCATCATCATCATTATCATTGTATAAAGAAGATATTAAAACAGTTAAGACCTTGTTGCGTTTCCAAAAAATATATATTATCCACAGTTCAACGTTTCGCCCTCAATGGGCTTCCTCAGGAACATTCACAAAAATAACTGGCAAGAATCTAGATATACACATGCTATAAAAACTAAAGTGCGTACATACATGTCTCAACATTTAAAGGAGCGGTGAGAACAAATCGCAAAGGCCAGAGAGAAGGGAACAATAAAGCCAGAAGTGGTAGAGAGAGAGGGGG